TCTTATTCTCTTGCTGTCTCTATTAATCCCTTAAAATTCCTCCCAACACTCAGGCCGCACAGTTTCTTTCCTCTGTTCCTCAGCACTTTACTATATAGATGAATTTACCCTTTCTGGTTTCTGCCCCATATCTTAGAACCTCAACACTCAGATTGAAAGAGCCTATCATTACCAAGCAGGATAAATTTTAAAAATAAATTCATACATAGCGATATCAAAACGAAACTCCAGAGCATCGAGGTGAAAAACACAATCGTAAAAGGTACAAGAGGATACAGAGGATTACCTACGAAGGAGTGAGAGTCAGATCAAAAGGGTACTGCTCATCAACCAAAGCAGTCTGAAGAAAATAATGGAATAGCTTAGAAATGTTCAGGAAAAATCTATTTGAACTTAGAGTTCTATAACAAGCCAAGCTAACATGCAGAGAGAGAGAGAGCAAAATACCTTCTCAGACACACTAGCCCTTAGAAAAATGTATTACCCATTCTGATGGAGAAGGGAGGAAAAGCAAAAGAAAATCCACCAAAGATGTGCTCCAGCAGGAAGAAAAATGAATCCAAAAGGTAATCATGGGCTATAAGCAGTAAAGGAGAATGCATTCATGTTTTATTTTTGTAATTAGAAAGTAATCTTTTTCCAAAGGTTGGGGAGAAAAGATACTGATAATTATTTATGTTTATTTCTATTCCATTTTACCTTTGCATAATATGTCACTATAGTTTACAAAGTGCTTTCCCATAAATTTCCAGTAGCCAGAATCACAGGACCTACAAAAATGTTTTAAGAGGGCTATGTTAGGACAAATATTAATTCCAATAAAACTTGGAAATGTGATCTTTGAGTCTAGTAAGATATTTCTTGCCACGGACACTGGCTGGCTTCTACAATCATTATGATGACAACATCACTGGGTTTAAGAAGGATTGATGAACATGAAATTTAGCAGACTTCTTTTTTTCTTTTAACTCTGCTACCAAGTTGAACTAGATTATGGACTGGTAGAGAAGGAGATGAATGGAGGGAAGAACTATAATAGTTCAGATGGGCTGATGCGTTCAAAAGGAACTCATGAGATGTTCAGGCTCTGAGGTTTATGAACTAGACAGGACTCTCGCCACCAGGGTGTGTCAGGGAGGCCACTATTCTGCCCAGGAGGCCTTCTAATGACAGATCCTAGGTTCCCCAAAGGCGCCTGTTGAGAGGCTCATGGTGCTATTGCCTAGGTCATAGGCCATGAATTTAGGGCTTGGAATCTCTCACTTGAACTTTTTTACACCATCCCTGATGTGTGCCAGAAAAAGAGCAGCTGCCAAAAAGCAGACATTTTCCTGTCTCTAAAAATAAAACACTGGCAATGCTTCAGGCTCCTGTGCCAAGACCTGGCCCTTCCCAGGATAAACAATAGATCGCCAAGCCAATCGGAGAGCAAATACTGAGTCCTGAAGTATGTCTAAGTCCAGCCTGAAATGCCTAGGTCAGGACATGTGCACTCGAAAGCCAGGAAGCCAGAGAAGGCCCTCCCTCCTCCGCAGCTGATGGAGGGCAGCTGTTGCACCCAGCTATGGACCAGGTGTGGCTGAGTGGAGGCCTCAGGTTACACCCAGACCTTGACCCAGCTGAGGTCACAGAGTCCCTATCAGGTCCCGCCCCTAGAGCCCTGGGGTGCATAGTGACAGATCTGAGGGCCTGTGAGATCTTGTCCGGAGAAAGCTCCCTGGGAAGGGAAGAGTTTCAAAAGCATCCCTCTACATTCGTCACTCAGGGCTGTGCTCGTCACCTGTCAAAACCCCTCATGCCCAGCTGAGAGCCCTCACCTGCTAGATACAGGACAGCAAAACCTCCTGAATATAGGAACGCTACAGTAACAGCGTTCCCACTCTAATTGCCTCCCAATTCATCAAATCCTTCTACAGCACGTGTTCAAGCCCCTGTGCCTTGTCATTAGGGTTCAAACCTTCCAGACCACAGCTTGGCTTTTTGCTGGTTTGGGGACTTAAGAAGGCTAAGAGGGGGTTAGGGGAGGAGAGGGCCTAAATATAGCAAATATTTGCAGGCATAATCACTCCATAAACATGCTTCAGTGGAAGAGAGTGTAGGGCCGACCCAGATGACGGATGTCACTCACCCAAGTGTCACATCATAAATAAAATTGAATGAGCCCATTCTCTCGCAGAACCAGAGTGACGCCTGTTCCCACTATAAATATTTATGAAGTCATCGTCCTTAAAAGACTTTATTTTTCCAGGTAAGTAGACTTTAAGGAAAAAGTTAAGCAGAGCTTTGCCTGCAATTATGGAATAGTCACCATAGCTTTTCAATGGATAGTCCATGGAAAGGAAAAGAAAAAGAGAAAGAAGATAAGGAAACACAAGAGCCTGTTCCATGGGGCTTCTGCACAGAGATCTCATTTATGCCAGTCAAAGTTCATTCTCATTCAAAAAGTGACAGCCTTCTCTGGGAAGAAGAAACCAGAAGCAGAAGCCAGAAGAAGCCCTATCAGTCCCGTTTCACCCAGGCCTGTGTAATGAAGGGGGCGCAAACAGATTCTTGTCACCCAAATGCCAACCCCTCCCACCACCTCTGCTAGGAGGGACATTCTCCTTTGCATTCTCACTCTCCCAGTCTGTCTCTTAGTAACAGAAAAAATGTACACCTCACCCCATTACTATGCTCATTTGAAAAGAATTCTCAGAATGTGAGGATGTGTGTCTGGGTGGCTCTCTGGGTGTTTATGCAAAGTCTACTACTTTTGCCCGTAGTTACTCTTCCTGATTGCATGAGGAATGGCACCTCGGAAACCTTACTGGCATCTGACAAGCTTTTCCTGTGCTCCATGCACTCAGCAGGAGCAAACACCTCCTCCGGGCTTAGGAGCACTCCAACAGTCCCCTTCTCCAAGGCACTGTGGCAGTCCAACGACCTGGAACTCTCAAGCCATTGTCTCCACTACAATACATGCTAATTTTCATGTCACGTTGCAACTTCCATGTTACTCATCTGCTGACTGCACCAAAGCCCTCGCCCAAGTCCATCAAGCCTGTTTCTTTCCCAGGGATGGCCTTGTGCCTGGGCTCTCTTCCCCTCCAAACTCCGGGGTGGCCCCTGCTTTATCAAACTGAACTGGCTCTGGAGCTCTAGGAGAAAAGTTGATGATCATCTTGCTTTAGCCTCCGGGAAGTCTTGCTCCACAAAGAACAAGAGTCTCTGGTTTTGTGAAATGAGTCACAGGCTGCCTTGGCCATGCCTATCTGGGGAGGCCAGGGCTGCCATGTATGGTCTGTGCTCCATGCCACCCACCTCTCGCTGTCAGCCCAAGCCCTTTGCCAGGACAGCCTGAGTCATAAAACTCAGCACATTCCTCAAGGGTTGGATAGTCTTTCCTTGTTATTACTTTGCTTTTGTTTTATGCAGCACCTGGTTTCGTTTTAAAAACCCAAATAAAACTCACACGGGCAGGGCGGGAGTGGGGAAATAGGAAGAAAAGCAAAGGGCTCTAACTCCCCAAACAGGGAGGCACAGAGCAGGACAGAGACGGGACTGCAGCTGAGGGGCTGGGGAGAGCTAGGATGTGCCACTAATGAATTGATTTGACCACAATCTTCCTTGCTGTATATGATAAAGCATTTGATGCCCAGGTCTCTTCCCCACCCTCCCATCCCCAAATTAGGCCGCAGTACAGTACTCATCAGTCATGTGACCTTCCCGAAGCCCCTCCACTTTCTGAGTGTCCTCAATCAATGGACATACATCTCGGATGAATCCTAAGGAACATTCTAGTTACAACACTCTGAGTCTATGAACCTGCCGGTTCCCTTTTTCTTGGATACAAGCCCTAACCCACGTGTGAGGGAATATGTTTCCACAAGCAAACATTTGCTCTTTGCCTTTTGGGGATTAAGGAATGGGGGATAGACAAGCAAGAAGGTGTAGACCCCACCACACCAATGCTGCTGGTCAAATTGAACTTCTGCGGCCAGGTTACTGTTGCAACTCATCTGTAAAGCTGTTAAGACTTCATTTTTAGAATTAAAACAGAATTCTAATCAGCTATCCCTTGCATATAGTAAAAAACAAATGATGAATTAATGATAACCATTACCTTAGAGAACTGTATTTTACTGGACCAGGAAAAGCCAGCAAGTTAAGAGATTAAAACCTGGATCATGAGGTACTAGACTCGGAACCTCAACAAAGGCCTTTCTCTCCTACTGCCTGAGATGTCTACAGGGGCTGGCCAGGGCAAAACTCCGGAGGTTCCTGAGTGGCTGCAGGGCTGCCTTTTCAACGCATGCTTTTGGAGAGCCTAATGGAAACCATACGAAGGTTGCCGGGAATCAGACCAGATGGCTCCCGGGGAATGTATTTAACCCAACCTAGGGCTAAGAGACAAAAATAATCATTAGGAGTTTGGGGGACGGGAGGCAGGGGTGGTGCTGCGACTTTTAATTGTATTTTCTATTCAACAAAAATCCTAAGAGAAGGACGGTCTTGGTAACTGGGAGTAAATGGAAGGGGGTGTTGGGGGCAGAAAGCGGGGACTGGGGAGGAAGAGGGGGTAGGAGGTGGCTACTTCAGTAAACCAAACACCGTTCTGCCTTTCCTCGGAAGTCGGCGGCTGCCGGGGCCCTTTGCGGGCCTGACGGCAGCGGGCTCCTTCCCGCGCCCGGGGTCACCGCGCAGCCCCTGCCCCTCCCGGTCCCTCCTCCCGCGCGCTCCGCGGGGACGACGAGGCGGGCGGTAGCGGGGAGAATTAGCAGGAGGAGGGTCGCGAAGAGAGGAGGAGGGTCGTAGGCGGTGGAGGCGGCCCGTGGACGCTAGGGGAGGAGGATCGTGGAGAGAGCCAGAGGATCGCGGAGAGAGGAGGTGGGCCGTGCAGGAAGGAGGAGGTGGCCGCTCCGGCGGGCCGGGAGGAGCGGGAAGAGGCGGACGGGGGAGGGGAGGGGCAGGCGGCGGGTGGGCGGGCCGTGGGCGCGGCTCCGGGGGCGCGGGCAGCCTACCGAGACAGCCAGGGCGGGAGGGCCGCGACCCCGCCCCGACGGTCGAAGGCAATTCGCTTCCCGGCGGCGCCTTGCGCGGAGGAAAACCTGGCGGTGGAAGGCTCCGGCTCTGCTGGGTGACCGCTCTGAATACAAAGAACCTTTCTCACGCCCCTGCGCCCTTCCCCGGGGCTCCCAGATACAAGGGACAGGCTCTGTGACGCCGGAGCCCACGACGGTCGGGGCCGCAGCACCATTTCTGTGGTTCTTGTGGATAAATGTGGTCCCAAGTATTTATTTAAAAAGGAAAGTTTAATAAAGATTATAACACGTTTTGTCTCTCACCACCAATTAAAAAGGGAACAAATTGAGAAATGAAGCCCATGGAATTGTCCCAGAAAGCCAACCTGCCAGGGTCCAGATGTTCCTGGGCAGGGGGGTGTTGGGGGGGCCCCATACCTCAAAGTTGTTTATTAAGCAAACTCCACGCCTCCAGCACTGTGGCTTCGTTTTCCAACTCAGTTAAATGGCGATGAGGGTCCTCCCCAGCCATAATCAGAGTATCGATCAGCTTCTGAATCCTCAGATGAGCCAACCTTGCTTTCAGAATCGCACCGTCCATGAAGCTGGAGAAAAATGGCCTGGTTGTCAACACTCGCTCATCTGCAAAGGTCACTTTTCCACAGAATTGGGAATTAAATGGTCTCTTCCAAACCAGACATCATTCATGAGCAGGAGATGGGATTGATCCTGCATTTTCTTCCATCTCTCTTAACCCTCCTGTTCAATATATTGTATCTCTGTCAGGAAGGCCAGATTAATAAGGCGGGAGAGAAAAAGGGCAGGAACTCTTGCAATCCCTAACCGGCCCCCACTGCTTCTCTGGTAAGATTCTTTCCAGGTTTCCCTAATTCCTCTAGTCCCCACATTCCTGGATGTGAATGCTCTGCTTTCCAGTTTCCATCAGGAACTTCTTCAAGATAGGACACAGGAATATAAATACTTAGAGAATGGTTACCAAAGGCACTACCCAGCAAGCAAGTACTTTCAAAACTAAGAATAGTGTTAATGATCGTTGAAAATTTCATTCAATCTCTACTTATTGCTTTGATGCAGGAAATCGGGCATTTATATATCTCAGTGCTTGATCTCCTTCAAAGTATAAAATTTAAAAATATTAAGATTTGCCTTGTCTCATAAATAAAAAGTCATGATTTTTTTTTTTTTTTTGTCAGGACTCTAGGTCCAAGGTTTTCCAAATATGCGCCGCATATTAATTGTGGGGGGTGTGTGTGTGCACATGCATGTACTTTTAGTCTGTTATTGCACCACAAAAACAAGAGCAGGATGTAATGTCATTTATTTGTTGGGAATGGTTGACTTAAAAGCGGCTACTTTGAGTATAGAGAATTCCCTTTCTGGGAGGGGTTGGGGAAGAACCTTACAGAGAGAAGCAACTGTTCCCCCAGAACAGCTGCAGACACTGATTGGCAATGGAATTGCTTGGCACCAGTACAATTCCATGTAGGCAAGAGGGATTTATTTATTTAACAATAGTTAATGATTCTCCCAAGCAACTCCCAAGAGGCCAGCTTTCAGTAAATGTACTTTCAGGAAATCATCTACCCTTCCTAGAAGCAGGCATCAACCCTACAGTGAAGGGATGTCCCTGGTTGACCACACAATATAACTTTCAGGGGACCACACAGCTACAAACGCCCCCAAACAACTCCCTCCACAGTCTGCCACCGCACTGGCTTTCCATGTTTGAAATGCCCCCTGGGAACATTATCAGGTCCTAAGCAGAAAAGTCGAGAAAAACTGCACCATTTCTGGAAGACCATCATTAAAATAGACAAGTCGCCTGGGAACCAGCGCGGGTCATTCAACCCTCTCCCATTAGCGAAATGTATCAGATTTGCTAGTTAATGCCCAAAGACCAGCATTTCCAAAGTGAAATGTATGTATAACTGGTGGTTCTTGTGATACTGTTAGGTAGTACTTGCATAACATTTTTTACTTTAATGGTCAGAGGTTTTTTTTTTTTTCCCCTAACACACATAACGAGAATATCAAACCCATGGTATAATGAACATAATTACTTTGGATGAGTCTGAGTTTTTTTTAAGTTAAACAGAAATCTTAATAAAGTAATAGAATAGCAAAAATAGTTGTAACTTCTATGCAGAAACCAGTTTTTATTCTTTCTTTCAACTTACTCTCTAAGAGTCTCTGCTAGAAATTTAAGACATAAAAAGAATCCCATTTTAACAATCTGTTTAAAAGCCCTGGGTTTTGAGAAAGTCTAATCAGGAAGGAGAGAATCCCTGGTCTGGAGGGTCATTTCGGGGAAGCAGGGACGGTAGATGATGGGTGGCAGGACGGGCACATGGGGAGGGAAACTCCGGCCACTGGGCACCCAGGGTGGATACGCGGCAGGGCAGGACTATCGGAGAACTCCCTTTTTCACAACAGGCAGAACCCAGCAACTCACCGAAGAAAATTCGGACAGTACAATAGAAATTCCAACTGCTGTAAGCCTCTTAAGGGCTTGTTTCCAAAACAGCTATGGAGAGATCCACCCAAGAAACTATTCATGATGCTTTAAGAAAGACTTTATCTTATCAGAACAGCTCCGCTTTTTGCCTGATTGTAACTTAGGGAATACTTTTATACCAACTCTAAACATACACAGGCCACCACCCCTGCTGCCATGTAGAGACACTCAGAACCCCACTTCCTGACTCTCCCCCAGAGATCCACTGTTGTAGGGCAAGTAGAAAGATGCTTACATGCTTTAGGACACCTTTCCCTCGTCGACTGTAGTTTATCAGGGCCTCCTGTGCTAGCTTTTTAGGTCTTACACCTAGGGTGAAGAGATAGCCAATATATGAGTGTTTGTGACAGAGTCTACCATAAGTGAAATTTCCTGACATTCCCAAACATTGTTTTAAATCAATAGATCCAAATCTTTACATATGCAGCCCCTGCCTCTGCCACCAGTATGAGTGGCAAATGCCTCTTGCATTTCTCCCTCCTGTTATTTCTGCATCCTACCTTTTGTATTGTTAGGAGAGATAAAATGATGTAACAATATGGGTGCCAGGAGGAAGGAAGCAGAAACGCAAAAGGTGTGGAAATATCACATGAAGACCACTATTAAAATAAAGGCCAGAAAATGGATATAAAGTAGTAGTTTAGGATGGGACTTACAGTATTTTCCATAATTTGGAGGTGTTGGAAAACAATCACCAAAATCCCAAATTTGATGTGCCTATAAAAAAAAGAGATAGAAATAAATACCAACCACTTTCATAATAATAGAAATCTAATAAAATTCATTTTCCCAACATTGCTCCTCCCCACCCCTGCATTCAGAAAGCACTGATACTGCTGTCAAAAGCCACCACTGTGAGTGCAGTGTAGTTTCAGCCACTCGGGAGGCCGAGGCAGAAGATTGTTTAAGCCCAGGAGTTCAAGGCCAGCCTGGGCAACACAGCAAGACCCTGTCTCAAAAAAAAAAAAAAAGCCACCACTGTAATAACAAACAGTAACAGTAAAATATAGACAAAAGAGTACAATTCTAATATGAAAATACCATATGCAAATCAATTTAAAAAAGCTAAACACCCTAGTAGGAAAATGGACAAAGGAAATATACTATCTTATCATTCAAATATAATTATTCACGAATTTGTATTTGCAAATTCACCTACTTGCTAAAATGTATTTGTAAATTAACTAAGCTCCATTCTGGCATTAGTTATAGTGCTGTTAGCCATGAGTTCAATGTTAATAAATTAACAACATATATTAAGTGTCTTTAAACAGAAACATACGTAAAAACAAAATTATATATTGATCAGTCGGCAAAGATGCAGTGACTGGAGGCTCCCAGGAATCTAACCTTGTATTTCCTTTAGGAACAATGGTTCAGTATTCCTTAATTCAGTATTCATGGTGATTTTACAAAATATAACCACAAATAGTGAGAATCAATTACAATTCATGAAAGAACTGTGAATGATGAATAAACATAGGAGGAGATGCTTGACTTCGCTAATAAATAAAATTAAAAGAAAATTGAGCTATCTTCATCTATCAAGTTGGAAAACATCAAGATTATATTTTAAAGCTAGTGTTAGAGAGGATATAGGAAAACAGGCACTCTCACGCACTACTGGGGCACAAAGCCAATTTTTGGGAAGGCAGTTTGGCCATTTGTAAAATAAGTATACTTTTGACCCAAGAATTCCTCTTATGCGAACGTACCCTGAAGAGATGATTTTACAGCTGCAAAAACGTATATTCAAATTTTGTTGATCATAGCATGGGTTACAGTAGTTATAAGTTAGAAAACCTTAAATGCCTCCTTATATGGCATATGTGTATATACATATATATATATATATATATATATTTTTTTTTTTTTTTTTTTGAGATAGAGTTTCACTCTTGTTGCCCAGGCTGCAGTGCAGTGGCATGATCTCAGTTCACTACAACATCCACCTCCCGGGTTCAAGCAACTCTCCTGCTTCAGCCTCCCAAGTATCTGGGATTACAGGCACGTACCATCACGCCCAGCTAATTTTGTATTTTTTTTTTTTAGTAGAGATGGGGTTTCACTATGTTGGTCAGGCTGGTCTCAAACTCCTGACCTCAGGTGATCCACCTGCCTTGGCCTCCCAAAGTGCTGGGATTAGAGGCCTGAGCCACCGTGCCCGGCCTATGGCATATTTTTAAATTGTAATGGAGTCACTTAATAAAATATTATGTATCCATTAAAAATGATAACAAATAATTATGTTGATAAACACTGAAAGATGCCCATGAAAATATTAAGGGATAAAAGCAGGTTACAGAGGACAGTGTCCAGTATGATCTCATCAATAGACTGTGTGTATGCATGTATCCTTATGTATACATAAGTATAGAGAGACATTTATGAGGATGTTCACTGAAATGAAAATAGTGATTGTCCCTGGGGGAAGGGAAAGAATTTCAGATAATCTTTACTGTGTTACTCTGTATTATTTGAATGTTTACAATCAGAGGACAGTTATTTTTAACTGCCAGTATATAATAATTTTTCCTCTGCATGGGAAAGAGGAAAAGTTGGTGATCATGATAAAAGCACAGTATCATCAGTCGTTCACAATTTGTAACCTTGGTTATTGTTGTGTTCCTATAACCTAATAGAAAGCTACACACAAAATAAGCACTCAGGAATAAATGTTTGGTGAATATTGTTTTTTAAAATTTTAACCCCTTCTGTTTTTTTAACGAATAATATGCAGTATACAATAATTTAAGCTCTCTACAGGTAAGTGATCACTGAGAAATGCTGGACTTACCACTCCATGCTTGACATCAAATGACTTTTTAAAGGGCCTGGTTATTTCAGGGAATAGTCCTGCATGAACATGAAGAGGGAAAATCAGGATTAAAAGCAGTGTTAAAATAAAATTTCTTACACTTCCAATTAGGCTACTACCACAAATTGTACACACATCATCTGTTTCCCTTTAGCATCTGATGAAAAATTATAGCTAGATAAGAGGAATAAATTTTAGTGTTCTATAACATTGTAGAGGGAATACAGTTAACAGTAATTTATGGCCAGACACCGTGGCTCATGGCTGTAATCCCAGCACTTTGGCAGGCCAAGACAGGAGAATCATTTGAGGCCAGGAGTTTGAGACCAGCGTAGGCAACATAGGGAGACCCCCGTCTCTACAAATAATAATTTTTAAAAATTAGCTGGATGTGATGGTGGCACCTGGGGTTCCAGCTACTAGGGAGGCTAAGGCAGGAGGATTGCCTGAGCCTGGGAAATGGAGGATGCAGTGAGCCATGACTGCACACTGCACTCTAGCCTGGGCAACAGAGCAAGACTCTGTCTCAAAAAAAAAAACCCAATAATTTATTGTGTATTTTCTTTTTTTATTTGAAATATCTCTGGAAAATTGCATATTTTCAAACAGCTACAAGAAAGGATTTTGAATGTTCCCAACACAAATAAATCATAAATGTTTGAGGTGATGAATATGCCAGTTACCCTGACTCACTCATTACACATTGTATACATGTGTTAAAATACCACACTGTTCTCCAGAAATATATACAATTATTATGTGTCAATTAAGAATAATATCTTTTTAAAAGTAAGCATCAAACAGGTAAGACAAAACCATACAAGTTAAATTCATAGTAATTCTTCTGGAGCTTTTGGGAGAGATAAACATTTTTGTGTCTGAAATATTCTCCTATGATACACAACTTACACTCTTGGAATTGGAGAGAAGCAAGACTGCTGAAATTCTGAGGCTGTAAATTTTTTTTAAGGTCTTGAGAAGCTCAGGTGTATTTTTTAAACAATTTTATTGATATATCACTTAAAAACTTAAAATTTAAGTACACAGTTCAATGAATTAAGTAAACTTACCAGGTTATGCAATCATCACCATAATCTGGTTTTAGAGTATTTTCATCACCCCAATAAGATTCCTTTTGCTCTTTTATAGTTAATCCCCTTTCTTAACACCAGGACCAGAAAACCACTCATCTACTTTCTCTATAGATTTGCCTTTACTGGACATTTCATATAAATGGAATCATACACTCTGTGATCATTTATGTCTGACTTCTTTAATTTAATACAGTGTTTTGAGGTTCATCCATGTTACAGCTGTTTTAGTATTTTGTTCTTTTTTTTAATTGCTGAATAGTATTCCATTGTATGAATATACTAGACTTTGTTACTCATTCACCAGGTAACAGACATTACGGCTGTTTCCAATTTTGGCTGCTATGGATAATGCTGCCATGAGCATTCACATGCAAGTCTGTGTAGACATGTGTTTTCATTTCTAGTGGGTAAAAACCTATATGTAGCATCGCTGGATTCTGCTTTTAATTTCTGTTTAACTTTTAAAGAAACTGCCAAGGTGTTTTCCAAAGTGGCTGTATTTTAATATTCCCACCAGCAATGAATGAAGATTCCTGTTTCTCCGCATCTTCCCCAACATTTGTTATTGTCTTTGCACTTATAGCCATTCTAATGGATGTGAAGGAGTAGCTCATTATGGTTCTTTTTCTTTTTATTTCTTTCTTTAAAATTTTCTAATTATTTTTATTTCAATAGGTTTTTTGGGAACAGGTGGTGTTTGGTTACATGAATAAGTTCTTCAGTGGTGATTTCTGAGATTTGGGTGCACCCATCACTCAAGCAGTGTACACTAGACTCAAGTGTAGTCTTTTATCCCTCACCCACCTCCCACCCTTTCCCCTGAGTTCACAAAGTCAATTGCATTATTCTTATACCTTTGCAATCCTCATAGCTTAGCTCCCACTTACAAGTGAGAACATGCGATGTCATTGTGCTTTTTCACTTGCACTTTTCTTCTTTTCTTTCTTTTTCTTTATTTTTTTTTAGACAGTCTTGCTCTGCCACCCAGGTTGGAGTGCAGTGCATGATCATGGCTCGCTGCAACCTTCAACTTCCAGGCTCAAGTGATCCTCCTGCCTCAGCCTCCCAAGAAGCTGGGACTACAGGAACATGCCACCACACTCAGTTAAGTTTTCAACATTTTTCATAGAGATGAGTTCTCATTCTATTGCCCAGGCTGGTCTCGAACACCCGAGCTCAAAGAATCCTCCTATCTCAGCCTCCCAAAATGCTGGGATTACTGGTATGAGCCATGGTGCCCAGACTGATTTTTTAATGACGAATTATACTGAGTTACCTTGTGTGATTTTATTAAAAATCAGGGGAAAATGCTGAAAGGGTGTCTTGCTTGATGTAATATGATGGGATCTGGCATTAGAAATAAGTCGAGAGAGTGAACTAGCCTGTGGCAAATGTTCATTGTTTTGTGTGCTATTTTATGCTGATAAACTTTTTTTTTAAAACAAGGTATCTTAAGCCAGAGTCAAAGAGCTTAACAATTACTTAGCTAAATTCAAGAAAAACCCACTTTTTCATAGCCACAGTAAAAGCAGACGGATAAGAAGTTTATCCTTCACAATTAGTGCTGATTGTTCCATGCTCTGTGAATTCTTAGCCTTTCAAAGCTCTGTAAGACTTCTATAAATCCCACAGGCCTCCCAGAGGCTTAACTAGCTTTTTGTTACCCTTCCTTTCAAGAATTATACTAATCATTAATTAGTAAGTGATATGATTCTATAATACTAAAGTTTTATAGAAAGTAATTTTGAGGGCATTTGGTGCATTATGGGGAAAAAAACAGACATTAGAATTTGTGCTAGATCATAGCATTAGGTATTTATACATTTGTGCTTATATTTCGGCCAACTTGGTCATTTTTCTCACTGAACTAGAAATGTCTCTCATTTTCTTTAGTCAGTATATGGAGAGGAACCAGTGTTCCTCTTCACCAGTGTTAAGCTCACATATGTTGGAGTACGGTTAGCTAATGACTTCTCTTTGCGAGGTCACAGTTCACAAAATAGAGCCCAAGGTACGGCTTGACCTTGGCAGCTTCAGTTGGCCTTTTAATTAAGGACATTTAATGTTACCCTAATTTGCTAGTATGTATCTACCTTCCTGCTCCCACTTCCCAGTCTTAGAACTGTAACTGAATTGGGCAATTTGTTGTTGATAAAACTAAATATCTTCGTAATTACCAACAAATTCTATCTTTAGGTATAAGGTCCTTAAATGTTGTACCAACCCTGATGGAAATACCTGTATTTCCTGTAATTCCTGGTTACGGGTATTTAGTTTTTAAAAGCAAATTATCAAGAAAGCAAGTATAGGCTTGCAGAACCAGAGAAGCTCAAGTGTGGAAGTATACCTGCAGGTCTTCTAGTCATTTAGTCCACCTACTGGGTGTCTGTCATAGTGCAACTGCCAGCCTTATCTGTGATTCTGCTTTCCTTTAATATGTTGGGGATACTTTGATCTCCCACCTGCCTGTCATTTGAAATGAAGGTTCATGAACACAAAACATAATGTTGGAAGGTGAAGACAAACCATTCTCCATCCTTTTCGAGTACTGTGGCCTTAAATTGTATGTACACAAAGGAGGAGAATTTAGATTAAATGTGAACAATACAACCTAGAAGCAGCCAAGATGTGTGTATTCTTGGCCAGTGTAAGTGTCTTTATGCAGCAGTCCCCGATCTTTTTGGCACCAGCCACCGGTTCCAGGGAAGACAATGGAAACATGGAAGGTGGGTGAGCAGGTGCAGGGTTGATGGTTTCAGAATGATTCAAGCACATTATATTTATTCTTTATTCTTACATCACTTTATTTCTATTATTCTTACACTGAAATAGATAATAAAATAATTATACAACTCACCATAATGTAGAATCAGTGGGGGCCCTAGCTTGTTCTCCGGCAATTAGATGGTCTCATCTGGGGGTGATGGGAGACTGTGACAGATCATCAGGCATTAGATTCTCATATGGAGCATGAAGCCCAGATCCTTTGCACGCTCAGTTCGCAATAGGGTTTGTGCTCGTATGAGAATCTCATGCTGCCACTGATCTGACGGGAGGCGGAGCTCAGGCAGTAATGCCAACCATGGGGAGTGGCCGGAAATGCAGATGAAGCTTTGCTTGCTCCCCACTGTACACTTCTTGCTGTGCGGCCCAGTTCCCAACAGGCCTCGAACTGGTACAGTCTTTACGAATATTTTTCTGAAGATAGGTCCCAGAGCTTTCATCAGAATTTTCAAAATGTCTCAAAAATATAAGGTATCATTGTCTTAAAGAGAGATGTGTTAACCATTGGGATAGATTAGAGAGCAAATCTCTTTCCTAACAGATTTTTAAGAATAAGTCATTCAATGTTCTATATATTAGATAAAAATCATTCTAGCAACATTAAATTTCTTTTTTTCTAATCAGCTGACTTTAAGACAATGTCAAACTTTTTTTGAGTGTGATAATAATATCGTGGTTATGTAAGAGAACATTCTTATCCATAGGAGACTCATGAAGAAGTATTTAGGATATACTGTTATGATATTTTAATTTTACTCTCAACATTCCAGCAAATAAGTATATATAGGTATCAGTACAGAGAGATTTAGATAAAGCAAATGTTAGGAAATGTGGCAAAATATTAACAATTGATGAATCTAGGAGAGGGCAGGTGGGTATTGATTGTGCCATTTTAATTTTCTTGTGGATTTTATAAATTCTTTAAAAGGATTTTTCATTCCTTTATTCTTTGGGAGCAAAAGAATAAGGCAGTTCATTTATCTGTCTTTTTATTTGTGCCCTCCCCCTTTTATCTGCCTTAACTTGGTCATTATAAAGAAGGCAGTTCTATCATATTTAGTAAACGGCTAAAACCAGGCACAAGAAAAAAAAAAAGGAAAATCACCGAGGAGCATCCCAAATTACATTTGAGCTATAACCAAGGACAGAACTAAAAATAA